GGGCGGGGGGATATGATATGGTCTTATATGTATCAGTGCGAAGATAGGGAAATTCAGCTCTTCTTAAGAATAATAACGGACAGAGCAACAGTGGCAGGTGTACACAGCAATGCTTTTAGGTACTTATGTAATGGTTTGGATTGTGGAAATGTGGGTTATATAAGACATTTAATATTGATGTTATTTAACTCGAGATTTCTCACTTTTACATTTTATTTATTCATTTTTTTATGTGCATAAGTGTTATACCTGCATGTATGTAAACCTGTACTTGTGCTGTACAATACCCACAGAAGACAGAAGAGGCTGTCAGATCCCTGGAACTAGAGTTATGGATAGTTGTTAGCTGCCATGTGGGTGCTGGGATATGAATCCAGGTCTTTTGCAAGAACAGTCAGTGCTCTTAACTGCTGAGCCATCTCTCCAGCCCCTGATTTCTCACTTTTAAAACAAATTAAATTTAAGCCACACAATTATAAACATAATACTTAGGAAACTAGAGCAGAAGGATTCCAAGTTCAAAGTTAGCCTGGACTACATATCAACACCTTTACTCAAAAAAAAAAACAAATTTTTAAACTGTAATTTAAAAGATATTTTCTGTGCCTCTAGGAAAAAAATCTCATCTGCTTTGCTTCTTAAGTAGGGCTTTTTCCCCCTGAGTTACACATCCCTCAAAGAATGGTTTCCCCAGCACTGTAGGAAATACCCTGGTGCTTGTGGTAAAATCCAACCAGCTTTGAGTTCATCAATGTCACTGAAAGTTCTTGATTTTTCTATTCTATAGTCATTCCACCTTAGAATTGTTATTAAATTTTTAAACACTTTTCTACAGCACTGTTACAGTTATCTGCTATTAAAATACATTTAAATTAATTTTTTTTTAAATTAAAAGAAGCATTTCATTACAACAGCATTAACCTCTTCAATAACATTTTTCTGAGCTAGGGTACATCTCTTTCAAAATTGGCTGTACATTTCTAGGTTTACAGATGAATTATTACCCTTATATAATCTTTTACTCATTATAAACTCTATAAGACATAAAATTAAATGAGGTTCCAACGTTTAAAAAAGATCTCCAC